ACAGCAGTAATGGGACAAGTCTGTGAACTGTGTGGTCAAGTTCTCAACATCTGCATCTGGCTGCAGGTTATCGTGTAAAACTCGCTGAAAAGGTCGAAGGGGTTAAAAATGGCTGATTCTATGTCAAGGTTTCTTTCCCTCCGCACTTTCCCCAGATATCCCCATAGCCAACCTCGGCCAGCGACCATTTCCTCCTCCATTCCAACTTTTTGCTAAACTTTGTGACATGTATTATTGCCATTACCCGCCGGTTCCTGGGTTCCAGAGTGCAGGGTATATGCTCAGGTTTCCAAGACTGGCTGCGTTTTTCTACTGTAAGCATATGCACCGCCAATAAGTAACCCGCTTGACATTAGGCATTTGAGATGACTCCAGCAGTGCATTTTACAATAGAAGTGTTCCTCTTTTATCTGCCTTAGAAACATCATTTCCCTACCTTAAGTATAATAATATATTTAGACTCTTCCTAGTGTATGTATTCTCTTTAATCTTATTTGATCGTTGGGGGAAGGACTGAACTATTTTATTTGTCAGCGAAGCAGGATGTTTTCCCCTGTAAATCTTCAGTTTAGTTTCTGAAAAGTCCCAGTTCAAAACACTTTAATATAGCAAAGATGTGTGAGCCTCTCCTGTCTGCTAGCAAATCACTTACTTTAACTCCAGAAGAAACCTCCTTGAAGCTGCTGCATTGATAAGAGGTCATTTAACAGCAAGCCTTTCTGAAAACTAAATTAGAGGAAGGCAAACTCTGCACCACCAATCGCAGCTTGTTCTAGCTCGGAGACTTCAGTATAAACAAGCTGTATAGTACTAACTCTGAGTAGAATTTATCTCACAGACTGATGGAATTTGTTCCTTTTTGCTTTTTTTCCCTCCAGACCTCATATTCACCACTCAAAAGTTAGTAGCGTGCCTTTGATAAATTACTCAAAGTAATCCCTGCAACAGCTAAGCCTGACTGGTTGACGTTGTGTTAGAAGTCTTCATAGCGGTATGTGTCTATAAATATTCACTTGCGGAGTACAAAGGGTGGATCATTTTTAATGACAAAGATTCAAGAACTGGAGGAGGAAGAGAAAAGATTAATATCCGGGAATTCAAATAATGTAATTTCAAATACTGGACTTAGAACATTACATCCTACTAGTTTAAACAGCGAGGCAGATAAAATAGAGCGGCCTCATAAATGAAATAGAAGAATAGAGTTGCAGGGAATTTAGAAATGAACATTAATACAAACTTTTCAAAAACTTTTTATTATGATGATTCTACACCGTTTTATCTTCTAAGCGAATCGATATTTTATCAGGAAAATATATTATTTTGTCTGATGCAACTAAGGGGGAGAATCAATTTAAAGCAGGAGTTTTAATTTCAGTGGGTAATGTGATCCTGTGCAATCAAAGTTATCAGTTTCTATCCATTTTATTTAGCTAAGTTAAATATGTTTGTTATACCTATTCTGACGAGAAGCAACTTGAAAGTGTAGCTTTTGAGTCATCTTATAAATACATCCCTGAGGCTGCGGTTCTTGCGGCTTTCAGGCAGTTTTCATTAAAGCAGCCAGCTGCCTCTTTGTGTGGACTGGATTTTTTAAAGCAATCACTTGTGAAGCCTCAGCTTCAGTTTTGTCCTTCTGAAGGCCCTTAACGTTGAAGTTTCATTCATGTGTTGGGTCTCTCCACGAGATCAGGCTCCTCCGAGCCACATTGGAAAGAGCTACAGAGAGCGCAGGATTGAATGGTTTATATAGAAAGGTTAAAGAGGGAACAAGAGATCAAAACAGTCGCATCCCACAATAGTTACATTAAATGCGTCCTAGCAATGTGCACAAATCTTCTAGCTCGGCCTTTAAAAGGAGTAGCAGACTCAGTGGCATGAATCTATATGTATTGCAGCAAAAAGTATAGGAGCAAAACGCGCCGTGCATTTCTGCTTCTTGATTAGCTCGCCCTAAAACGAGCTATACACGAGGGAAAATCGAAGTTTAGAAGTATTCTTTCTTGAGTCGCGTGAGTCGATTTCGAGCCACTGAGTGCACAGTTTGAAATGGGCTTTTCACCTCTCAACAGGGCCTTTTTTAAAGGAGCAATCTTAAAACCCTGAACATTCGGGTGTGGTTAGAAATAAAATCGTGCTAGAACGAATCAAGGATGGTATTTTGGTCGATTAGATAGATGTAGCTTTCTCTCCGCGAGGTTTGGCTTTGCTAAGAGTCTAAGTTATTAAAACAGCTCAGGGTTACGCAAGTAAAAGGATGGTTCCACAACCCCCACGCTACTTAACAAGAAAGGGCTAGAGTCCACAAACTATGTCCAGAGGAAATGCGGCAGCTCCCTTGGATTTTAAACGTCCCAGCAGGATTAATACTTTGAACCTACCGCAGTCCCTAATGCAATGTACCTTGCGAATGTGCAGCATCTCACCTCCCATACAGGGGGAAGCTCCGTTTAAGAGGCGCCTATGTGTGTTTTATAGAGCATATTCTCGGGTAGCTGTATTGGAATGAAGGAGATATCAAGGAGCCCTGTCAGTTCAAAGCTTTTTAGGGTTGTTTGAAAATCCTCTTCACGTCAAAGTAAGCAGCCCTAGTATTTGAACAGCTGCTTTGAACAGTGAAAAGGGCTGAGCTGAATCAAAACACTGCAGTGTCTGCCCAAGACACTGCATCACCTTCAACCTGCTTTTATACCGGCACAGAAAGGAAATAAAAGCTCCAGAGCCCTCTAATCCAACAGGGTCAGATACCAAAGAAAGGGGACACATGACTGTCTCTTTCACATCCCGAGCTCCCTGGACTTAAACCAGCCCCAATTTTGGGGAGGAGAGAGGGGGGCTCAGGCTAAAATCAGCACCAGTCACACAGGAACCACACAATCAAGAACTCTCCCGGCTCATGAGCTCTCCGACAGCGGTTTCCTCCACAGGGGGAGCTGGGAGTTAAGGATGCTTAAGAAACAGTATTAATGACAAGGATAACAATAATGATGATGATGATGGGGACGAGGAGGCGGAGTTTGCATCGCCTCTGAATTCACCGTTCGCACGCCTAGCTCTTTCCAGCTGTGAACGTATAGATGTTAATTTCACAGGGGGCGGGGG